ATTTTCAAAATAGCCATTTTATAAAACGTTATATTATGCTAAATATGTTTAATGCATCGTAATCAACGGTTTCGTAGTAATAGCCGTTTTAATTTGTGGAAAAAATCCGATCAACAGTTTTTTCTAGTTATAAAATGTGGGTATAGAAAATAAAGGCGGAAAACAATTAATATTCGCCAAAATATGAGGAATTACCGCGCTGATTATTATTCCTTATTACGTAGCGCGTTACGACACCGTGTATAAATTGTAATATTTTGTTCCGAATCCACTAATTTAATCACTTACCATTGATTTCTGGTGAACAAACAGCGATGAAAACTGCGCTTTGCTGTGTTTCGATTCGGACACAGTAGACTCGCTATGGCCTAGAATTGGTCACGCGGTTCTCTCCGTATTCGCTAGTCACGTGGCGTAGAAATTTTTCGAAATTTATGTGTCGGCTGTTCCGTGATGCGCAACTGGTAAACGGTCTTCAATCATCGTCATTAACATCGGTACATGCACGGTACCCCAAAATTATTCAGCATCGTTTAATAATTTTTCTGACGGTTTCTTCCGTAAACGAGCCCCGGATTCGCCGGTGAAATTAGGCGCAAACGCGTAAACAACAGCCGCCGTGAAAATAAAAAAAAAAAAAAAAATACACCAAGCAGGTGCGCCGCCGTCTTGGGAAATTCGCATCGACGTCAATAAATTATGTCGAGCGGCCCGGAGAGAGATTATTTGTTCCGCGCGACCGACACACGGTTAAAAAACGCCCTGGACGGCCGGACGCTCTTTCGCGGCAATCGTTTTTTTTTTTTTTTTTTTTTTTTTTAAATATAATCATATACGTACGTACTCGTGTATTTCAACCCTCCCCCCCAACCCTACGAATTGTGAAACCCGCCGCTGCCACTGCGGTGTTGTTCCGTTGTCGTCGACGCACGATCGCAGGCAGTGCCCGGGCTGTTGTCGTTGCGACGGTATCTGTCAACGCCGCGTCGCGTCCAGACGCGCGCCGTCTCCCGGCGGACAACGCGAATTCCGCGAACGGTTTCCGCCGTTTACGACGCCGCGCGAACAACACGAGCCCACGCCGAGGGTCCGGCGTGGGCGGCGCGAAAACCGTATTAGCGCGGGGTCGATTGCGTTATCGCGTACGAATCCCCGATAACCTGTTCGGCGGCACACGCGCGCTCCCGTTTTTTATTTTATTATTATTTTTTTTTTTTCTTTTTCAACGACGACGACGACGACGACGTTTAAATGACGCGCGGAAACCACGCCCGGCGCAATAATAATCGCCGAACGCGCTAAACGACCGCGCCGACTAGCGACGGTACGCGCCGCAAACGTGTTAACGGTACGCGAACGGGCGGACGACGCGAATGTCGCGAATAACGCCCGCGCGGCAATTTAATTCGCCGTAAACGATAACGCGTTCGCTCAATGCGGCCGGCCGGCAGCGGCACCGTGACTTTTTACGGTCATTTTTTTCAGACGGGTCTACACGCGCGAATCAGCCCGCGATTTACCGCTACTGCCCGATAACCGATTGCCGAACCTATCGAACGAACATGGAAAACGAAACATTCGCGTGCGTCAAAATGTCCGATTCGCACGCGCGCGAACGTTGTTCCTCGACAATAACTGTACACGCGTGCGAATTTACGCACCAGTGTCTCGAGATTCGAATCTCCGCGTTAAACCGCGGCGCGTTGCCGAAAGAGACAAAAACAAAACACGTTGAAATGCGCAAATTGAAAAAGAATACTTATTTTTCTATCAAAAAAAATAATAATAATAATAAATATAGATACGAACATACTTCACGCGATGAGTGGGCCACCGTTGTTGGCGAGAAGTTAGGAAGGCGAAGAGGGGAAATGCAATGTATGTCTGTACGCAACGGTTCATCTTCACTAGCGAAAAACGATTCCGAGCGGATTTTGATTATAGTGTTGCTTCGTCAACAATATATATGTCATGTTATGGTTGAATGTGGTTACACATGCATTATATATTTTCTTCAATAATATTTTTTTAATATCGTACCAATTTTCTCGTTTTTTTCATTAATCGGAAAAAATTCCTTAGAAAATCAAAACATAACCTAATAATTGAAAACCGGTGGAAAATTTTAGAAAAATAGTCCAGACAAAAAAAAAAAATTAATAAATAAACATCATTGTAAATTAAATAATTACAAAATTAGGTTCGAATTTTAAGTTCGATTTCGCGACACGAACGTTCGTCCTATAAAATCGTGGATGTAAAATGTCCGCGAAAAACGTTTTCTTTCTTCAAATTTCATATAATGTTTATTATTATATCTCTCTTTTTTTTTTTTTTATGTGGATACCCACTTAATTATTTCTAGGACGTCGTTGGTTTTCTCTCGAGAAGTATACCAGCTTTTAAATTTCGAAAAACAATTTTGCAAAATCCGTACACGTATATGTACTGCAGATACAGATATTACGTAGCGAATATTGGAATTGCCAGAAACTTATACGGCGTATGGGTTTTCGACTATTATACTAATTCCCCGGATATGGCCGGCAATGGAAACGGCGAAAATAGCTTTGCCGAAACGAAATCCTTTAAAATCACAAACACAACAATATTATCGCGTTACGACGACGTATCCTATACTATAAATTATATTCTGTTACTCGTTGGCTCGGCCAATCGAAACATCCCCTGTGTTATTTGTTTTTATACGATATTCTACATCCTCCCCCCACACCACCACCACAACCGCCGACGCCGCCGCCGCCGCCACCGCCACCATTTCCACCGGCACCGTGATTTCCGGTGTAAATTATTTTCGCTGAATGTTTTTCGACATCAGACGTATATTTGTGTTTATTTTACTCCCTCGCGGAGTAAACAATCGCCTTGGGGTGGAATTATCACAGCGATTTCTACACAACCAAGGAAGGATATGCATTCACTTGTGAAATTTTATCGGGAGGGAAGTCAATGATCGCTGACACGACGCGGCGAGTTTTTTTTTTTTTTTATATAGGAATTATTCGTATTAAATCGTATACGAAAACACGTTAAGAGTAAATAATTATAATGTCAATGGAAAAACGTTTGACAGCGGATACGCATCCGCGAAGTCTTTACGAAATCTCTAATACGAGAAATATTGTTACGGTTCACCCGATTCGATTACCCGATTTTCATAGCATATTTCAAATTGTTCACAGAAACCGAACCGTGTTCGCGATTTTTGACCGCGACGGCAATTGTTGTTTTCACGCACACATAGAACGATTAACTGCGTAAACGATATTATACTGTTATTGTTGTATTGTTGTATAATAACACGAATAAAAAAATACACGGATCGCGGTCGTCGGGTCTAGGCAATAAGCAATAATAATAATAATTACTATACCGCTTCTGTTTTGAATTCGACAATTAAAATTTGTTTGAATTTTAATTAAAATTTACTCCGTTCGTAATCTGGTTTTTTTTTTTTTTTATTATATTTTCATTCCGGATATTGATTTTCGTATTTAATATTGCGATAACAATTGTATCGCGTTCGCTGTAATGAAATTTGATTCAAATGTAATGCAATTGAACGTATTATTTCTTGTACGGTTTAATTTACTCGGATTTATTATTATTGATCGAATATATCTTCTATTTAATCAATAGAAGTATTACATAGGTATGGGTTTATCATCATATTTTATCGTGCGGTATGATACTCAATGGTATAGTATTCAATAGCATAGTATGAAATGTCTGTTCGAAAAATATATCAGTTGATTAAATCGTTTTGTAATATTAAAATACGACTTTTGAAATGCCCACACGATACTCGATAAATTAAAAAAAATAACAATATACAATACAATTAAAACCAGGACCCGGGACTTGAAATCCACAAAAAAACATTTAAGAATCAAATAAAAAAGCTCCGAGAACTCTTAAAACAAATATTTAAAAAAAAAAAACGAAACCGATAGAGGGGTTTAAAAGTCATTCCTTCTATTGCTGTAATTTATTAAATCATATCTCCCAACATTAAAAAATTGACAACACAACACAATACAAAATAATTATGTACTAGAGAAAACATTTTTTTTTTTAATCTTAATCCCTTATATTATTGGTCCAATACGAAATTATGTCTTTTTTTTTTTTTGTTTTCAATCCTCTAATTAGTTCGCGGCTATAATTCTCTATTGTTTTCCGCAGTCCACCGATTTTCTCTTCGATTATAAATATACAATATGTCATCCTTGATCTTTCATTTTAACGATTTGTGTATTCCATCGTATGTGTCTTCCTATGCAGTTTTTCTTATATAGTTCATTCCGTCAAACTTTCATGTCTGATTATGTCATATCCGATCCACTAATTCCGTTTTCTGATCAAGATTTTCCGAGTTACTTCAGGTATAATACGTATGGATATGTAAATCTGTTCAAAATAATTTATTATAATCGATAAATAAGTTATTTATAAACATGTTTATTTTAATTTTTTTTTCGTGTGTGTGTGGATAATACTTTACAGATCACGACATGGTTCATTTCCGGTTGACGTTATATCTTTGGATGATACTGATGGCGATTGCAGACAATCTCCAGAACACCGTCATAATCAAACCGTTGCCCAACGAAATGCGTATGTACCTACATTATTATTTATCATTATAATTGATATTGGTTTATATTTAAACTTACGTTAGCGATGTGCTGGCAATGTTAGTATTTGCATTGTCTGCAGAAGAAATTTCTAAAAAAAAAAAAATTGCATGCAAACTCCAATAGTCAGTTCGTTTTACATACAAATATAGTGGCGATAAAATTAACAATATCGTTTATTTTAATTATATAAGTAGCTACTACAGGATTCATAGAAAATGACAATATAATACGATAACGAGTATAACCGTATAATGTACTGTGTTGCGAAATCCAAAAAAAATTCAGAAATAATGTCCGAGGTTTAAAAATGTTCAAAAACCTTTCCGCGGAGATGTTTGAACAGCAACTCCATTACAGTTAATCGTACAGCGGTAATTTTACCGTGATCGGATCGTATTGGAGATTCGACCCAAAATCAAACGGCACATCATCACCACGACCCAGTAAAACGGTATTATTATTGTTTGTCTTTTTTGCCGTGTTCGGCCCGTCCGATCGTCAAAATAAAATCGCGCCGTGAACCCCCCCCCCCCCCCCCCCCCCCCCTCCCACCGTTTTTTTTGTCTCATATCGGAAATCCTGTAAAATATGATAATCGGTTAATACATAGGTAGCGAAATAGCTTAATAGTCAAATCGTTACGAATAGTGACCGGAGTACTCGTGATTATATACGCAATCTATACCCGTGGGTCCAAGTTCTTCGGGCGCTTTTTCGCGTCTTCCCTGGCTTAACGGATTCCACCAACGCCCCTGCCAAAGATGCTCTGTCGACACTCTCCTGCGACGCGTCTGATCGTCTGCGGCCGACCACGTCGCACCGTCACACGGCGACACCCACGCGTCGCGCATTGCAGGTCCAGAACGAACGTACAGCACGCCAACAGTCATTAAGAAAATACCGCGTTTTCTGATGGTCAATAATGTTCGGATCGAAATCCGGTCGTTAATTTTTTTTTTTTCTTATATCTGTTATCGCAACACACGCAAGGAAAAACTCACTATACGGTGAGCGAACGCGTGCGCGCGTTGTTTATTTATCGCGTTTTGCACCAATCGCACCGAAACAAAAAAATAAAACTCACTCTAACATAAATTGACGAATGTTTTAAAATGTTCGAATTTTATTGTCCGTTCATCGTGGATCATTGAAATTTTAAAGGTAAACAATTTCAAAATTAATGTTTTCCCGTTTATTTATTTCAATATAATATTCGATTTATCAAGTTTTTTAACCACGCTTTTAATTATTCATCCACCTCTATTTGACTTTGAGTCACTGGTTTTTTTTTATAACCATTGAAAATATAATTGGATTTTTCCACGGAAAAACCGGATATTCCCATAAACCCATTTATAATGTGTCGGTGTGCGTAAGAACGTGTGTGCGTTTCTGTAGGCCGGTGTGCGTATTGTTCGTGCGCGCCATAGATATCAAAGCTATGCACGGGCCATCAGTTGTCATCGGCACTCTTTAACACGAGTATTCGGGGCTACACGTTTTTTACTGTTATTATGACGATAACATTTTTTTTTCTCTTATTCCTCCTCTGTTTACGCGGCTTGTTCGATTGTTGTTTTTACTTTTCATTTTCGGACAGTAGCGTCTTTTTACGATCATCGCAATTAACAATTATCCGGATGCATTTTTAACCACGAAATCCGGTTATTCATACGTATATTACGCAATGTAAGATAAATTGACCGATGCGAATTCCTCAAATACCTTTCATACAACATTATTAACCGCTCTTCTTGGACCGCTACCTAAAATTTTGAAACACAGGAGTGACCAGTAGCGTAGCTAATGTGCAGGAGGCAAGGGGCCTATATCAGTGCCCCGCGGGTAGTGTTTGTGTATGCATACTATTTTACGATTAGAGTATTAACTGTGTACCCGGTTATTTTTTTTATTCCTGAAATAACGTTTTTTTTTTTCTAAATTGAACCGTATGAAAACGTTCATATAAATAGGAACACAAGTTCAAAAAATCGATCCAATACGTAAGCCGTGGCTGATATAAATACGAAAAGAGAAAATCGACGAAAACGATACACGAGTAACCACCGACTTAGCTAAAAATTCTCCTACGACGAAGCAGCTGTCAGAAGGTGTAAAAAGTGTATAATGATCGCAAGACATACCGCGACATTAAACATAATAATATGTTACGTTCTCATTTATTTATTTATTTATTTATTATTAAATTGCGACCTCGTAAAAAAGTACGATACGCATCGATACGCATTTTTAACGTAATAGTTTAAACAAACATCGACAAAAAAAAAAAAGGAAAAAAAAAAGAAGAAGAATTTATGAATTGAAATGCGTTTTTACTATCGAGTTGACACGATATGAAATAACGACGACGCGTATCGGTACACGTCAAAAAAAAAAAAAAAATAATAAAAAACACTATATCTCGTATCGCGTTTGAGCCGAGCGCCCGCGGTGGTCAATATTATTTTACGAAATTAATTACGGCCGTTCCGGAACAGATATATTGTTTCGCGCGCGTGCATAAATACGTAACTCCGTGTGTTTGGCGTTCACCGCCACCGCGCACCGGTATACGCGCGCGCACCGACGGCGGCCCAATATTGACACGCCGCATTACGCCCGACGACAATAATATTTATAACGCGGTTTGCAACATAAGCAATTGCAATTGCGGTTGTCGTAATGATAATGCACGCGCAATCGTCGGGACCGGGACATCGGCTGCCGCAGGCGCGCGAACAATAGTTACGCGTTCGAAACCGAAAACCGAACGCGCGAAACGGTAACGCGCACCCGCGTACGCAATCGCGCCGGACCCGGAGACCGTCGGTTTTCCCGGAGACACGGATTTTCGTATAATTTCACATTGCCGTTTAAACGCTCACCGAATCGGCTAACCGTATGCGGACGTGACGGTACGCTACGTCGGGCATTTTTCCCGCCCATCTCGAAAATCTCCGTCTTCGGCTCGAAACCTCCACACACACACACCCCCCCCCCCCCCCCCCCGGGAAGAGGAGGAGGGCGGTTTTCCTCTCCGTTCGCAAAACGCGTCACTGTCCGCGGCCGTAGCGGCGCCGTACTCGGGGTGCAGGTCTATTTGGCCGCCGGCGGGGCGGGCGGCGCTATAGCGGCGGGAAATATGCCGCGGTACGGGCGGTGTTTATAGAAAACATAAGTTTGCCGATTACGGCGGCGTGTGAGTAACGCAATATATTTACGCCCGAAACGACCAATACGAACGGTACGAATAACGGTGTCGCCGTGTTCGGCCTCGGGTGTTTCTAAACTACTCCGGCGCAACTGTCCGTGGCGACCAACGCGTCGCCTCCCGGTTTTCCGTAACGACACGCCGACGATTTCGCGTTATTCAATTTCACGCCCTGATCGACCGCGCGCTTTCGGGAAATCGCATTTCCCCCGCGCCCCCGCCCCCCCCCTCCCTTTGCAAAAAAAATGTCCGCGCGAAATTTTCACCGCCGACCCGAGTTTTCAATAACACCACGGCATATCCTGCGCGTATCGCCCTCCATACGTACTCGATAAACCGTAACGGTTTTCCGTCGGTCGCTGGCAGTGTGAACGCGGTCGCATTTGTATGCGCGAGAACAAATTTGTATTTATTACGAGATCATACAATAGCAATACACGCGTGTGCCTCTCTCTGTGTGTGTGTGTACGTACAGTCACGTTTTTTAATGACTTATACCCTTATTGCGATGAGTTTGTAAAATGTTTCACGCGCAATAATTAAAGGCCGGGAACGGGGGCACACTCGAGTTTTTAAAGGATGCCTACACCTCGTTTTTTTTTTTTTTTTTGTTTTGTGTTTTGTGTTTTTTTTTTTTGCACATTTCAAATAATATATTATAATGGAGGAATGCGGAAAAAAATAATATGTATAGACACTCGCAAGCAATACTTGTAATAATAGTATATAAATGTACATCTGTTAAATAATATATGATGTACCCCTACGGTAAAAATCAAAAATCGAAATAATTCACTATGAACGAAACGATATTGTTATAACTTTACCTAATTAGATACGTAAATGCGAACTAAATTAATTAATTGTATTTAACTATTCCAATTATAATATTAGAAATGTTTTGAATTCAAACAAAAAAGACTTGTAGATTGGAGTATTATGTTTTGAACGTTTACAACATAGTTTTTAGACCGTTTATTAGACCAGTTTTTGGAAAATCATTTAAACCCGACGTTTAAAAGATTTTTAAAAAAAAGATGAAAAAAACCCGTTAGCGTTTTTTTTGTTTTTAATAAATACATATGGCCAAACATAAAAAAAAAAAAAATCACTACGCACAATGGACATACATTTTTTTTTTTTATAAAATCGAAACATTACAACCGAATTTCAACAATATCATAATAATATCGTACAATATAAGATACAGCGTGGCGTTTACTGGAATTTCCCACGGGAGGGGATGTAACAAAAAATAATAGCGAATAAATCGTAGATTTTTCAGACTACGGTTTTCAAAGCCGGATCCTAAATAGCTAATTTGTATTCGATAAATCACGTTTTTCCTATACGTTTCTAGATTAAATCGCTAAATAAATACTCACAGTTTTCGTATTTTTAAATCGTTCCGGTGGGGATATAACCCAAAACTTTTCTCCCTCCTTCCAGGCGTGCAAGCCAGCGGTTATATATATATATATATATATGCAAGCGCGCGCTTTCCGTAATACTGTCGTAATAATAGTTGATTTCGTACACGTTAACCGAGAGATTTTAAAGTTTACAACGTCGGTCGAGCTATAGCCGGAGCACGAAATAATATTGAAAATCATTGTGACGTAACGAACGGTTTTAGTGGGCCGGAATTATTATTATAACATTTATGCGATTTTCCGCACGATTAAACAGGAATTTGTAAGTAAACTCTTTATCCCACTGTTTATTGAATGTAACGTGATAATATTATTTGTACAAGTGTTTTTGCTGAATTATTCAGCCGGAAATTCAATAGTTAGTAATTTGATTGTAATATCAATAACGATATGAATATTATAAGGAATTTACGCAACGATTCGGTTCGGATTGGTTTTCTCCGAAAATAGAAAAACAATCAATTTTTGAAAAAAAAAAAAATCCAATCGTTTATAACCGTGATGGCAAAATTATTCTAAAAATATAAAATCCAAAGGCGATTTCGACGTCGTACCTATAAAAATATTAAGTAGTATTGCATAAGTATTTTTAAACGTTTTCCAGAGATATTTGTTTTTTTTTTTTTTTTTTTTTTTTTTTTAAATTGATAACTATCTCTATAAACTCGCAAAAACATAACAAATGAATATAACAAATTTATTCATTGAAATTGAACCGTCATAATGCGTGATTTACAATAATCGTTTCAACGGAATTAAACACGTTTTAAATTGCTTTGCATGTCATTATAAGTTAAGTATTATTTTAACAATTAAAATATACAATAATTGTCACGTTTTTTTTTTTTTTTTTTTTAATAATTTATGGCACCTGACTAAACTCGTCCTGACCTAACCGCCATGACCTCATAACTGGAACGTGTTTTCTGTTTCGTTCTTTTTCGACAGTCTATAATAAGATAAACGGCCGTTTTTTCAAATACTATTTGCTTTATATGATTTTTTTACAGTATTTGTTCAGACATTCTATAAACTTACATCGGTTCGGAATATTAACAAAACGACAACATCCCGGACGGTTATGCTTCTTACCTGCAGGACTGGGAAAGCCGGTCAATAAATCGTAACCGGATACAAGTTACGAGTTAATTAAATAAAATGTGCTCAAACACGAGATACTGGTTACGTATCTTGGTTACGTATATGATTCAAGATACATTAAAAATTCTAAAAAAAAAAAAAAAAAAACAATAATATTACATATACTTTGTATAGTGCTTGAATAGTTTCGTTACTATTATGATTAATGTCAACTAAGTTCCGTCTGAAATCGGACGCCAAATCGTCTCATTCATTTCTTTCGTTATTAAATTTAAAAAAAAATTAACTATGCGACATGCGTGTGTAATGAAACAAATTTATCAACTAGTAGTGTAAGTAGTTATAACAAACTAGACCGGCGGTCTACCATAAGACTGAAATAAACTTGAAAGACGGCAAATAATTTGTCGAAAAAACTAATGTTAATTGTTAGAAATTTGCCTTACGGTCGATTGAAATTAACATACCACGTTCATAATAACTTATCTTGATGTGTAAGGGGTCCGTTCGTTTTATTTGGTGTACATTTTCCACGAGTTACTGTGAACAAATTTAACCGTGTACAAAATACGAGTTACTCTAAAAAACATGCAACTCAGTTACGTATTTGAAATGTATATGTATTAAAATTACTGCGTCCGGCTCTGCTTCCTACAATATTTGATTAATACATTTCATTAAAATAATATTATTTTGCCTACCTGCCGCACAGGTCTTTGGGGTTTTTGTCATTAAAAGAAAAAAAAAAAAAGGTTGGGCTTACATTTTAAAAATAAAAAATATACACTTAGAATAATATGTTTATAATACCGCCGCCGACCCTTTTGATAACTTAATCTCTGGTCTAACCTACTTGACCCGTCAACGTGCGACTTACACGAGTTAGTGGCATGCGCGTACTCGGTGATTGGGAAGTGGTTCGTGGTTGCCGGAGGGTGGAGAAGTTTTATTTAAAAAAAAAAAAAAAAAAAAAAAAAAAAAACAACAAGACGGCTTTGCGGTATTATATAATATAATGTGTGCGTCCCCGTAATGCCCGGTAAAGGTCTTAGTTATAAAACGTAAAAAAAGAAAAAATTCGATTGACAATTAATTTCTCTCCTGTTCGAGTATTCGAGACGGTGGCGCGGCGGCTTCAGAAAATAACCAGACGTAATCGTATCGTCGGCGGAGGAGACAATAATACGTCTGCGAATTACGGTATTGTTAATAGTAAATAATAATTATATTAGTATATTTTACTCAAATCGTATGACGAGCCTGTCACGAACAGAAACTTATGTAATACTATTATGTTGTAGTTTTCGCTAAATTAGGTTTGCGCGAATATTATAATTTAACTAGAGAACATCGAGAACATAATATTATTACAAAACAATGTCGATATTAGAAACTGTGTATTCATCGCTTCCGTCTCTCCGGTGTGATTGAACAATCGGAAAAAATGTCCGACGAAAAATGTGAAAAAAAAAAACAAAAACCATAGTGCTCAAGATTTAATGTGTTGTGTTGGTCTTACAAAACAAGTGACGTTTGCGTTCAGCAGGACCAATACTGTGCCGTTCCGTTCGATAATAGAGTGAACTGTTTTTTTTTTCGCACTTAGGAATATACCGAGGAATATTACGTGCGCAGCGTCAGCGTTATTATTATTATTTTTTGATATTTTAATTTTGACGAGGGGTCTGAGCGTGTGAAATATCATATTTTACTGTCGTTTGTATTTTTCTTGAGAATCAAAATGTCGAAAGGTTAACGTTGCATAGGCACTATTCTTATCTTTATATTTAATTCGGGTCAATTCACTCCAGTACTAAAACTAAGCGCACAACTTTGTCCCTGCTGATCACGAATTTACTATAACGTACCTGCGGTTGTAATACGGTGAAAACAGATTTAGCTTATCAAGTCCTCATTAAGTCTTGATTGTCTTTGCGCCCGTGAATTACCGTGTTCGTAACGTTCATTCAGATCAGAGGATAGAGAGGAAATTGAAGGAGTATTGAGGAGTCGGCATTTCGACTATACTATTTCATATAAAATTCGGCAAAACGAATATTATTTTTATTATTATTTTTTTTTTTATTGGCATTTTATTATACGGGTACCGTTATTATATTAATATCGTTAACTTCAATACATCAATAAAAGGTCAAAAGAAAAGAAAAAACTGGGTTTTTTTTAGTCAATCAATTTGGTAGGTTTTTTTGAGTCGACAAATTTTTAATCAAGCCCTTCCCTGTGTTTTCGTTTGTGTCCATTGTGGAAAAAAAAAGAAAAAAAAAAAGGTACGTTAAAATATTATTAGAAAATAAGGCGTACTCCGTCCCTTCTCACCCCTTCACCGGTTTATTAAGCGCTGGTTATTTATAGGAATGAAAGGGGCGCCTAGCTAAAGAAGCTAAAAAACGCACTGCGAAAAATAAATTGCAAATATTGTTTCGTTACATGTTTTTAACATCAGTTACTTGTATATTTATATTATTACATTTATTTTCATTATTTTCTCGGGAAAAGAAGTCGATTAGTATGAAAAAATAATAATACATAATAATAAAAATTATTACCTACTTCGAAAACGAATCGAATTTAAACGTTTTACATTCGGTACGCGCGTACGAACAGCAATGAAAAAAAAAAAAAGTATTCCTTGATTTTAATAGCAAATACTATATCATCTAAATATCTATACATATATAAAAGCGAAATTGGAAATCTTCGTTACGGGTCGACTTCGTAACGACTTATTCAATCGTCATGCAGGTTTTTTTTCAAATTAAAGAGGGCGTGACGGAGCAGGTGCTAGGCATTAATTTAGCACGGTAAAGTTAGTAAATAATTAGTTATTAATTAAAATAAACGTGTAAATTGTATACCAATGCACTTTAGTAAGACGGATAAAATGAAAAAAAAAAAAAAAAAACTATGTATTTTAATGGGTTTGTGTCTATGGTCAAAACGCATCTGCGGTTTCTTTCCAAATCATAATTTTCTATATGTACTGTCTCCATTGTGTCACTGTGTTCATTATCGTACAGTTTACTACCGCCTTACCACGTCTACAGTGAATTACGTTTTCGGCGTATTACAATTTTCGTTCGTTGCTGTGAACTGCCGCGCTTTTATTTTTTCTTTTCTCGGTTTTTTTTTTTTTTTTTTTTTATTTATCGCACAATGCCCATGCAGAGGAAATCGTACCGAAAATAGTGTCAAGAAGATCCGCTCATCTAGGAACAAACATTCACAAACGCCCGATCAAAATATAGTTGAAGATGAAAACAACGGCGACAACAACAATAATAACGACGAAAACAAGAATAACGTGCCCTTAATTATAACAAATCGATTGATCATAGAAATGATTCTCGCGTTTCGACAAATAATACGAATTTAAATTGCAACTTTTAACATGCATTATAACGGTCTAACGGACTACCGGGTCTCTGCTGTTCAGAAGGAAAAGTTTTAATGAGCATTTGATAGACGGACAAAGGCGGGCGGGACAGCTGGTCATAATATACGCACCAGAATGTAGTCGAGATTGTCGCTGTCTCGTCCCGATTGATGTTATGTTGTTTAATTGTGACTTTTATCAATTACCGGAAACTGTAATAAATAGCTACCGCCACCAATCGCTATACACAAAATACAAAACAGAATTATATATTTTATTCTAATAATCAGCGGCCAACATAACAAAGTAGAAATTCCATATGGCTTGCACAAGAATTATCGCCGTAAGCTTGTCAGATTTATAAAATTACTACGGAAAAGAGTCTAACCTTTGTTGGACAATAACGCAGCCAAAACGCAATGGAAAAAGGTCATTTTTTAATTTGATTGAAAAACGATTTTCGGTAGGAGAATTGTTCACAGACGGGGGGGAAAAAAAAAACAATAATAAACACGCATCGTATTAATACATTTCTTACTACGCTGCGATTCAGAAAAAAAAAATAATAAGAAAATTAAAAGATAATATTGGCGATTTAATTTCAATATGGGTGTGGATAAGAGCGTTCGTCTGCAGGTTTTACAGTAGTTATTGTGAGCGGCGGCTCGAAGGAGGTATTATATTACAAAAAACCGGGGTGAAGAGGGTACGTAGGTACCTGGATGTTCAGAACTATATTATTTTAATATAAAAAAATTATGTTTTTTTTTTGAAAAATCAATAGAAAATAATTTTAGATTACGGAAATGTGATCGATTTGACGAATTTTAATGACATTTAACAAATTCCGAAACATACTTTGTGGGTAGGGTGCGAGTATTTTTGGATCGGGATGGGCGGACAGTTTCATCGGTGATTCGAGGTGAAATACTTCGAACCTCTACCGGGTGTCCGTATTACAGACGTGTCGAATTTGTTAACGCCTACGTATCGTGTTCCGTCACGCCCGGCGACGCAGTCGGAGCGCACCGCCATAGACGTAGGCGCAGGGTACCGATAAAACGAGTGGTTTTCAACATTTTGCATTCGGTGATGCTTAAAGCAGATTAAAAATTAAAAAAAAAAAACGAAACCCACGCCACCCGATCGCTGACTGACTGACGGACGTCACTGTGGGTGTTGCATATTGTGTTTTTCGTTTCGCCGGTCGTCGACGCCGGTGCCGCCGAAAACTCGATAACTCGCGTGACGACGATATTATTCCGTTTTTGATTTTCGACAAAAGATATTACCCGTATTCCCACGTACGATACGGAGTTTCACGAAACAAATAGGCCGAAGAGGACACGGTCTTTTTTCTTTTGGCTTTTGGCTTTTAAATTATTCAACGAGACCTAGCAGTCATAGTAATATTATTCTGTATTATAAAGTCGCGTTTAATTTCAAACCTGTTGCTGCCGCCGCCGAACGCACAACCGACCGCGTATTCCGCAGGAATCGGCCGGGAGTTTTTTTATTATAACTTTTTTTCTAGCGTTTCAAAAACATGTTCTGTACGTTTTTTTTTTTTACGTCGATCAGAAAAAAAAAAAATCTGCCGCCGTATATTTCCGTACGGTTCAATAAATCGCCATCCGCAGCGATAACCTGCGGAAAAGCAAGCGAAACTGTAAAATATTCCCGACGATTTCGGAAAAATCATTAAAACTTGTACCGAGGGAATTACGCGTGTATTATATTATAGGTGGGTAGGTACCCGTGTACCGGATTATTCAACGTCATATTATTTTGAGGTCGACGTATTAGTTTTCGATTATTCACTATTCGGTCAATATTATTCTAATTAAAGGTTGATTAAAAAAAAAAAAAAAAGCCAATAAATTCTCCGCTTCGACCAGAATGTCAAACATAAAAAAATATTAGTTGAAAAATTGCCGTTATTATCGTTTTTTGACAATAGCGATTGGATTTACAGGGTGTCCCGCGACGAATATGATCATTGCCATATATCGAAAAGGATCAACTTTTTTTTTTATATTTTTACTACCTTAGAAAAGAGAGTAGCTCGAAAATGTCACATTATCATTATTCTTTGTCACCATTATTATTTGGGGATGCCTACTTTATATTTTCAAATGGCGACCTGTGTGAGAAATTCCTAACCTAACCTAACAGATGGATTATTAGTTCGAATTCATTTTGGTGTTGAAATGTTTGACGTCGGTCAACCCGTTGTCGATTTTTCATTTGTGTAGCGGTACAACGTGTGGTATTTGAATAGTGCTTTGCTACTCTCCATCTATACACACTTAAAAATGAAATATATTGTCAACGGGTTAACGGAAATCAATAAATTTCAACACCGAAATTCATTCAACTTATACTCCGCTTATTTATAGGGGTTTTTATTGCGGGTTACCATTTAAAAAGAAAAAAAAAATGAGCGGTCCGTCAAACCCCCGAAAATAAGGGGACTAATAAAAAATAGTTGTAATGTAACATTTCAAAGCGATTTGTTTCTAAAACTGTTAAAAAAAAAAACAAATTCGAAAAGGGTTATTACTTTCCGAGATATCTCGCAATGAACGAGATATTCGATACTATTTGTATATTTTTATCCCGCCGTGCTTGTATTATCTGTATCGGTCTAAATAAAAACGCACGGCACAGTAAAATTACGTTGGATATTTATAGGTACGTAGAACATAAATCAGTGGCGGCATTTTGCGGGAGGAGGGAGACATGAAGGCGTACCCGTGAAAATTCTTCCGATGGAGAAAACATATAATTTTTCACCTATACTGACTACAGGAAAAAATAGTTCACTACATATACTAGTGAAATACCGTTAAATAGTAAAAATAATGGATTATTATAAAATTCAAAATAATGGCAAATAAATATAATGTAGAGTAGGTCATTACAGTAATAGGCATATTCATTATTTAATCCGTGCACTATTAATTATCACAAATTGTTACATTTGAAGTAACGTCAATGGGATGCTATCGCCCATCATGCTACCACGCCATTATACATTTTATCATATTTATTTAGAGTGCGATTTTTTTTTTTATTCATTATTAAATTTTAGATTCCGAGTGGAACGAAAGGCTTATTGTGTTACAATGATGTTTAAATTTTTTTATCTGTTAACACATTTTCTACCAGAAGGTTTGCTCGAACTTTTAATGGTATCAGTGTTTCTAAAAGGAAATTTCACTGTGGAGGTACTTGAAAAAGGCAATAGGTTCGATTTTCTTTAGAGTTTTCCCAGCAAAACGTGAAAAACCGGGATAAAACGTAAGAAAACTGGGGAAATCGGTAGAACATTAAACAAACATTATTAAAGTAAATATATAGAGCCTATTGAATTATTTTACTATAAAATGGCATATATATATATATATATATATATATTGTTGAAAAAGCATCGCTATCAACTGAACTCCGTTCAGAATCTTTTTTTTCATAAGCAACGGTTTTATCGTTGCTTACAGGCGTACGTTAAATTATCGATAACAGTGGCTGCACCCGTCCCCATTATTCTAGAACGTATTTTTTTTTTTTAAATGTTACAATTTTATGGTTTTCTCTACGGACTCCGTGAATACAAATATATATATTATGTTGGTCCTGTTAGATTATGATAGTTGGTTATGTTCAGACATCGTAATATCGAATTTAAATTTGATAAAAACTTTCACACTAGGTATTCACTGATTTTGTAGTTATATTTACTAATCATTAGTTGGCCATTTAAGAAGGTGTTGGGCGTAAAGCTGCCGGCGAGTTTTTGAATCATGCTAATTAATTTCGCATCCTTAAGTGTTTCTATACGAAGTCCCGCGTATGACATAAATGATATTGCGGTTTTTAGATGGAAATTAGAAAAATAACGAAAAATATTAATGAAAGAATATTTTTTTCTGTTTATGAACAACTTCCCTCTGACAAGAGACTTTTGTTTTTGTAGAATTTCGGATCTGGTGGGTGCATAGAAAATTGCAATTTTTGATTTTCTTTATTGGTTTTACAATATTTTGGGAAAACTGGAAAAATTAACATAATAAAAACTGATAAATTTCCAGCGTTTACGATTTGTTTATCTTGCATTTGTTTTCTATCAGAAATTTAAGTCCAAATTTCAATAGAAGATTATTTTCTGAAAGTCATTATTTAATTATTTTTATAATTGGAGAAAAACGTATTTAATGGGATTTATTTATAATATTAATTTATTAAACTAATGGGAAGTTCAAATAAGACTTATACTAGCTTTTTTTTAGACGTCGTTAAATTGTCCAAAAATTCTGACGTTTTTTGATATACCTATGTATAGGCATTTTATATTTTCGAGGTATTTTGTTTTTTATTCTATAGGTATTAAGTGGATAACATTGTTTGATCGAACAATAATGTTTGAAAAATGAATACGAGGTTCATTATAAGTCGTATTTAATATGTTAAGCGAAACGTAGAATTTATTTTTTATGAAATTCATAAAAATTACGGCATTTCAGAACGTGTTGAACTTCGCTTAGAATCGTTTTTCGTTAGCAATTGTGTGTCGTTGAGGTATAAATCAAACATTTTTGTTATGTATCCTTAGTATTCTTACTTTTCGTCATTTTACCTACAACAGTAGCACACTTGCTCCCGATATCAGCACTTTGTTTTATTGTAATTCGGTTAAACTAATCGCATAAAGACGGGGAAATTTTCACAAAATACTTCCATTCGGCTTTTCTAGGCGTGGTTTTGTTTGAAAATAATTTTTTTTTAAAAAAAAAAAAAAACAGCGACGCGAACCGTTTTCAGGGATATTCCCCTCAATTAAATTTCGTTGCACGCATTTAAACTCTAATTTCGACCCGAACGCCACAATTTATATTCTTCGCTACGTAATATTTTGCCATATTGCCGGTTATAGTTGTTAGACCGGGACCGTACGGGCGGGCGTGGCGTCCGCCTCGGTGTGTAAAATTGATTTATATAAACGGACGATATAATATTATGGTACTTCGGTCCTTCGAGTCGTATAATATAACTTATTTAAACTTCATATTATTATTATTGTTGTTGTTGTACTGCGCGCTCGCTTTTGCCAGTTTGCACACCCGATCCGTATAGTAAACATAAGACGCCGTCACGTCTGCGCCTAATCAAATAGAATACCGACAATAAACAGCATAATTTATTAATACATCGCGTTCCGTTGAACAAACGTAATATAATATGATATACCTTATAAACGTGTAAATACGTATTTAACCGTTAATGGGTTGTTGTTTTTTTTTTTTTCAAATTTTTTCGAATCGTATTCGTTTCCCCGGGTCACGTTGTACGGCGAAAAGACGCAGAACGCATTTCGGGAAAATATATTATTTAATTTTTAATTTTAATTTTTTTTTTTCCGTTCGTTCAAACGATATTTATTTACATCACGTTATTTGCGAAACTAAACGCGTTTCTGGTCGGATACTTTATGGTCCGGTGTTTGAAAATTCAATATGGCACGCACCACTGCGATACGTATAACATGGGCGACATTTCGACAATTATGGAAAATTTCGCCGTCCGGAAAATAAAAAAAAACCCCAATCAAAAAATATACACTCGGATATTTCAGGAGCATACGATAGTCGTCAGATAAACGATGAGATAAAATGTTTTCGAATTGATTGATAACAACACCGACGTTGACAGAGCGCCGGGTTCTTATTCTACACTCGCCCAACCTTACCGGTTAGGTATTAATAACGAACAACGAAAATATTTTACTACACAATATTTCCTATACTATTAATGACACCATTGCAATATTCAAATTATTGTTACGAATTTTTCCTATAGTGTACGCGTTATCGATGGGTGAACCAGAGGAAATGCGTGCAACATTATCCATTTTTATCCGTCGCATATTACAAACACATACTACGTGTTTCAACAAAGCGAAAGAAAACCATGTAGAGGCGTAGCCTTAGCTTTATACACTAACTTATCTTGCGTCGTATTATCTATACAAAGTTTGTACAAAAAATTATCAAAACATAATAAATATTTTAGTAAACGATCCGAAAATTTGACTGGCCAATACAAAACAATTTTAAACGGATTTATTGGCTGGAGTGAGATCGTCAGTTGATCGATTGATTGTAATCAGTTTTGCCGAGAAGAAAAAACACAACAACTCTTGGACGGTGGCTTTCGTGTACTTTACCATGGCGTGGTTCTTCATTCGACCATTGAAACACGACTGCCAGTGGTTTATGTCTCACCACTGATGGCATATGTTTTATTTTTACATACGAACGATTTTTAATTGTTCGAGAACCCGGAGTTTTTAATACATTACAACCGGACCGTGGTCAATGTTTATGATATTTTTTATGAAACCGATAACGAACCAATTGTAATCATTTTAAACTAAAATGCATTCGTCTTGAAATTTCAAATCACCGTTATTACTACAGTCAGCACTAATATAGTATAGATTATGAAACTTGGTATACACATTAGTGTTTTGGGGGACACTCTATTTCGGGCCCACTAGTCTAGAACATCAAAGCGATATCTTAATACTACTATCGACTATTTTATGACCGCGTGTTAAATGACAGACGTATGCATTATGCGCATTGCAGAGGATTAAAATATTAAAAACTAAAATATTGTAATCGCTTTTTAAATATTTTTTTTTACGCAAAATCTTATCGTTTTTCAGACAACTTATCGTCCCATTCGCAGAACGCCACGTAACTTCCGAAATTCTAACTTAGATGCTACTTTAATATTTTTTATAATTCTAAGGCCTTATACCAACTGTCTTCGATCAATCACCGATAGTTTAAACTATTGTCCTTCGCTGTAGTTATGTATATATAATATGTATACTACTTACCGGACGTTAATTATCACTTAAATTAAATACGACACCTCGAAATCAGTGTGTAAAAAAATGGACGATATACGAATCGCCCTGTATACACATATACACACAATTTGTGTTTGTAAAATGTCCATAATATTATAATGAGGTCAATGAGCGTTACCCATTAATATTATTCGCAACAAAACCGACATCTACCTATAAAACATAATAATAATAATTATAGTTTAAACATTATATTAGGTATATTATTTTTTTAGTTTTTTTTTTTTTTATTTTATTGCACGCAACTAAAAACGATAACACTCGTGTAGTGCACCTATATGTGCGGTTTAGGTGGACTGCCGTACGGATAATTAACCGTCGGACGGAGTCATTTTTACATGAAAAAAAAAAGGCCGTGCGCAGTGCCGTGAAATACGGGAAAAATATGTTTTTATCCCCGTCGTATCGAAACGAAACGATATTGTATAATGACATAATAATATTTATATGCAAAAAAATATAAGGCGAAGAAGTTTTTTTTAAAAAAAAGAATAAAAAACAGAGAATATACGCAAATTGCTATGGAAAATGTAAGATAATTATAGACTTTAGAATCTCCGGGACACATAAATAATTAATCCAAAAAAAAAAAATAATAATAATAATAATAAAAAAAAATCATACTTTTAAACGTTAGTATATAATTAGGATTTCAATGCGTTTTCATTTATTTTTCCGGGTTTTTTAAAATAAAAAAAAAATAAATAATAATAATATAAACTCCACAGTTGGAAAACGTAGGTAGGTATAGTATTTCAGTCTATATCGATTATTTTTAATGCGATATTTTTAAAAAACAAATGGGCACCTATTTTTTTGCGTTATTTTGCGCGTTACGTTATTATAAAATAATTTTAATCTACAAATATTAATTATAATAAACGTGCATTTTTCAATAGGCCTTACAATAATGACACACTTGACAATAATACTTTATCGTAATTTATTTAAATTCTGAGCGCAGTGCGAGTAATGCTGCAGATATTGGTTTTACTATATGATGTGTGTGTATGTGTGTGTGTGTGTGTGTGTGTGTGTGTGTGTGTTTGTGTCTTACTTCGATTTCCAAGTAGTGTGACGCTTCATCTGAAAAGATGCATCGGAAAGTCGGTTTTTTGATTTTCCTTACACACGTTTTTCTATATATATATAATTGGAAAAACCCAGAAAAGACGGAAAATGTTCCAATAGTTTACGTTATTTTCGATTCTGTTTTTTCCGTTTTCATTTTGTGAAAATTAATCGTAGAAACCTAAAATTATCGTAGAATACCTATATTATTCTTTATTTATATAATATGGTCCAGTTTTCAAAACCAGTGATTTTTAAGCTATTCAGAGACATTTGACGTTTTTAGTTTTATTTTGTTTTTGAGTGGGCAACATTGTTTTGGTAGATCAGAAATTGTTGGATATTTCACACAAGTGTCGTCATAAGTGTTAATTAGTGATAAAAAAAAAAAAAAAAAAAAAAA